TGATAACTTTCAAAAGGCCTCCATTTGATATAAATAAAATCAAAAACAATAAACTTGCTAGCACAGCCCATGAAGTGAAACCCATGCGCATGAATTATTATTTTAAGGAAACTCGAATACGATTAATGACGTTTTCCTTAGATTTGACTGGCTTGAAAGATCAGACCAGTGCTTGAGCAATAGACAGTTCACACTTTACTTCAAGTCAGACCCAGTGTTCTGCAACAAAGTTTGAATGTAATCTCTTCTACTATCTTTTATTACAAGAGAAATAAGTAACTGTGCCCAACTGAAGGACCAACTTGAACGCCCTCTGCAATACAATTCCCTTTAGCCTTATAATATTTTGATTTTGTTTTAGTAAAAATAATTCTACTTACCTCGTTTGTTCAGAAGTTAGGTACGGTTCAAAGAAATCATATTAATTATGCAGCTAAATAGTGAAAAATCGAGTTTTAAATTTCATGAAAGGAACTATCATACGCTGTTTCATAAAAAATTTTGGCTTCCTGATATTATTTTTCATTTCCGACTTTTTTTGCTATTTTTGGGAACTAGATGCTATAGCCTGTTTTTATACTTGCAATTAGTGTATTTCCCATCGTTAATAGGACTAGCGCTTCCCGTTTAGAAACTTAAATTGAAGAATCTTCGTTCTGAAGAATTGAAAAACCGCTTATCTTGTGTAAATTACCAAAATAATAGTGCATTTCTTACTTTTATGGAAAGAATGGGAAAATGAGCAATATGTAGGGTTAAACAAATAGAGGTTTTTAAACAAAATTAAAAGCCAATTTGGCGGTTCAGAGACGACTTATAAAATTAAATAGTGCATGCTTCAAAGCGGCGTAGATTGAAGAAGAACATGTTTTTTTCTTTAAATAATGAAATCGTAATAAAATTTTAAATGCATATATTAGGTGCATGAGAATAAGACAAAGGTTTTCAATCTAAACACACAAAAAATTAAAGCGACAAGCATTTGAATATACCTAGGGACTTGTAAACAGAACAAAGATTGTGTTGCATTATTTACTCATGCCAATATTTCTTAAATTTGTACGTTTATTTATGAAGGTCTAAATGGGTATTCTTAACCAAAGCTAGCATTAATTTTCCCCTGATAATATCATAGCCCACAACACCAACTGAATAATTAAAGTGTTGAAACAATTTCAATCAGAAACCTACAATTTACTAGAGATGGACGAAATGCGTTTAGCTGATGCAAAATAATCATCTAAACGCACTTTCGCTTTTCCATGAATCAAAATCCAAACTTTATAATTTCACCGTTGTGATAACGACGAAATTTATGTTTCACGATCACTGGGCATTTAATTTCGATATTCAGATTAGCATATCATTGAATTTTCCACTTAGTAAACTGAAATATGTTAACTTCATATATATAGCATAGATTTATTCACTCTATGGCACACAAGTAACTAAGATGGAGAGTTGTCTTGCTTTGTTTAAAAGTGTCTATTTTCAATCCTTTTAAGTTTTTAAATATCGAAATAGTAGCCAGAGTGTTGCTCTTAAAATATGAGACAAAAGCTGTTGAATAAATTGGAACTGACACCTCACAAATGTATTCGTTCCATAAAACGACTAATACTGATTATGATCAACATACAAAATTTGTTGTGGCATTATTATAAAATCATTTATCTGAGTACAGCTCAAATCAGTTTAATGGAAAGATGTTCCACTTTCACTTTTTTAGAGATTTGCCAAGTTTAAGCAGTTGAAATTCTACTTCAAATGAATGCAAACATCCTTAATAACAAAGAAATCTCATTTCATTTCTAGCAACACCATTCTTTAGTGATTTTAATAAGAGCTCACTTGTTACATTTATCCATCTTGGAGAAAATTGGAGCTTGTGGTTGACTCCGAAAATTGAAATTGCAAAGTGAACTATATTCATACGCAAATGACAAATTTTTCCCATTGTTAAGAATTCTCAATCGCATTATGTGAACATTGAGGAAGGGATGGCTATTTACCCTATAATTGCATGAAATTCGTTTGTTATCATACTAAAACGTTCCTAAAGGCATAGAAAGTTGAATGACGTGGTATAAGGTCCATTTGTGTTTGCAAATGAGGATGTCTTCATAGAGACAAAAAGAAATTGTTATTAATTAGCATTCGATTCCAGTATTATCACTGAGGCAATTTTTTTCTATCATACCAGCTAACACCGATAGGCAGAGGAGCATAAAATATTATTTTAGTAGCCTACCTCAGTGACCTTGGGTTTTTAACAGTTGTATGCCAAAATGTTCTTTTACAAAAGTTCATCTAATTGTTTTTTAGCAGTTGATAGAATAGGCGTCCACATATTGCATATTTTTGATGACCTTGCTGCCACTATAAATATATTTTTTCCATATTTATCTGGACAAAATTTTTCCGCTGATAATTTAACCCTTTAAGGCAAATATTAACATTTTAGAAATTACATGTTCAAGGTTATTTATATCTATATTTTACGTTTTCAAATAAAATCTAACTAGGTCTACTGAAATTCATCAAGTAGACAATTTTAAGAGAAATTAGCATAAGTTACGTTTAGTTTTCAATTAACCTCTATGGTAGTAACCTTTAAATTTAGTAAGTAATTCAATGATCCACTTTAATCCGCAGTAGCCGGCTTAAAGATCCAATGACAATACCAACACTAGTTTTATGTTTAATAATTTTGGGAAGTAAAATAGTTTGAATTTGGACACAACTAGCCAGGAACGGATTTATCCTTAAACATATTTGGCCTCATATCTACCCAAATTAATACAGAGGTGAATTGTACTGGAGTTCGAACTCTCGCTCAGCACATTTGCATCAATCGCCTGACTTACATCAATACCTGTATCATAATTTAATTCTAAACACGAATTATGCCTTCCAATATGTACTCGTGAATGAGGCTCATCGAAATAAAGCCGTAAAAGTACCTATATACTCCTGCAAATTACATTGTTTGGTATGTTAAAACTTTGAACGCGAACTATCTGCCAGTTTGTCAACTTCAGTGTACACGCTTATGAGAGAGAAGGGTTAGTCGTGTGCATGTCAATTTCGTTGATAAAAATTCAGCAAGCTTTAAACAGACCAGTTTACAAAATTTAAAAGTTGAAATGTTTATATCAAACGGCAGGCTTTATGAGATTCATCATTTGCCCTTCAATTGACCCCGGGATTCACGGAGAAGAGGAACATCAGAATGAGAAAAAGTCGAGAGGAGCAACAGAAGAGTGATTCACAGATGTAAAAGAGATAGACAAACACAAAGGTAGAGAAAATGGCTAGGTGCGTTCTGTGGATGTGGTGGAATAGGACATACAGTGGGATCATGATAGTTTGAAGTCAAAAGTGAACTGCCAGTTTATAGACATTTTACAGTTTGAGTATACGTTGATCATGATACACCACGTAGAGATAAGTCTATCACGCACTCCGAAAGCTGAAATAAGAGATTGCTGAATACTTACTATTCTTCAGTATCCAGGCGCCAGTCTTTAATTTGTAACTTTTAATTTAGTGGAATATTTGTTCAATTTGCTATGATTACTCGGATTTAGAAGCTTTTTCATAGATTTCTTGATTTATTTTGCATTATTTACTTCATTTGAATCATATTCGAAAATGTTCTTAACAAAATGTGATTTTCATTGCAGACGATTCAGTATTCTACTTCGGTAAAAGGCATTTTCGGTACTAAGATAAAATCCGGTTGCTCGTAAATTGATAAATAAATTCAAATGCCAATTGTATTACCGATTTTCTAAGCATTTTAATTTCATGAAGGAACTACATTCTAAACGACGCAGAGGATCAATAATGACTCGGAAGTGAGGTCTAGACTCAACGAGATTTCGAAGGTCATGACCTAATCTTCCTTTCTAAGTGAGAAAAGCTCACCCGGGGACGACTCAATGCTGCTTCATTTTACTTACCGAAATTAAGCTCGCACTATTTAAATTTGCTGATTGGGTACTTTAACTCTGTAGTTAGTCATGCCAATTCGATTTAACCGTTCTCTTCGATAACCGAGAAGAGGTTTATAATACGAACTATTATGCTCATCAATATAATTTACTAAATGAGGAGTATATTTTTTTTATTCAAATTGTTAATAGTCTGCGTGAAATGAGAATTTCAAAATGTGTGATGCAACCCTAGAGATTTGTACAAATGTGATTGTCCAAACCTTGACGCTGTCAGGCCAATGCCACACAAGAGTAAACAAATGTTTTTTTGTTTCGAATATAAACTAAGTTTCGATCATGCTTCTGCTTACCTAAATACAGGATAGAATTTATGGCTCTGCTTGAGACAGTACTATTATATAGTACTATAAATTTCTACGCAACTTGACAGCGTTTCAAATCTGAAGTTGTATATTATATGTAAATATAGTTTTGTCTTGTAATGTACGATAAAGTAAAGGAGTTGCTCGTTTTAACGATTTAAAATAAACTATCTTAAGCCAATTCAACAGTAGCTGAATAAAAGTATATTTATGGATCATTTGAAGGCAGATCAAATGTCCAAGTTAAGTGTCTTTCGTGTTTATGTCAATAATTAATGAAAATTTGATGACAGAAGAATCCAGAATGAGGTAATAGCCTACTATGAATGTTATATAATTCGTATTTTGTTACCCAACTACTTAGAGTCCCAGTTAGTTAAATAGCAGAAAAACTGTTTGATGTGAAGAGTTAAAAGTGGCCTTTTGAATGTTAAAGAACTTAAAGTTAATAGATCTACTTCGAATTGGAGAAAATTAAGTGTACTATAAAATTAATTAGTGAACTTTACTTTTGAATTACGACGCCAGATAACTAAATATTAACTTTTAAGCTTCGAAAATTGAATGAAATTTTTTACTTCTATCTTGGCGTTAATGTCCTTTTTAAAAACCTGTCAAAAATAAGCTTTTTTCCTCACTTTAACTAACCAATTAAGTCAATGCAAAGTTCGGACATCGTATGCCATTGGTAGAGCAGAACACATCAATGTTTACTTTATTATTGTCTCCGTGGGGGTATGCAATAGATTTTCTCGACATGAGAAACCAATTGTTTTGTGGGGGATTAATTTTCTTTCTGGGTTTAACAATTTGCCATGCGGAAGTGCTCACATCATATGAACGAAGTTAGTTTCTTCTATCAATATTCATTTTATCTTCCTGTGGATATGTTTTGTGTGTCCAATTTAAATTTAGGAAAATTGTTAAATTTTGAATTATTCATCCATTTCTGAAAATATTGGAAGTATATGAGACATGCCAATATATATTTTTACCGTTAAATTTGATTCTACACTTTTTGTAAAAATGACAAGTTTGGAATACGATTTGAAATATTTACATAAAACTTTTAAAATAGCTGCTTGCTTTATTTAAAGCTTTTTTCCCATTATCTGCTAATAATTGTGAACTAATTTTTTTAAGGTTTCACACCTTACAGTAAGAATCTTAGTTGCTATGTTTGCGAGCCGACATCGATGAATTTAACAGGAAGAACCCATGTGCAATGGGAAATTGAGAATAAGAGATGCGAGGAGCCGGGTGAAGATCTCATTGAGAAATGGCAAGTGAATGCTCATATCCTATTTATTTTCCACTGAAAAGTAATTATTTAATTTATATTGAAAATAAGAAATGAACCTATTTCGAATTTTCTTCCCCGAGAACTGACCGAGTGGCAGTAGCATGCAGTTTTTAAGAAAGGTTGTAAATTGTAAGGAAATAATGCCTTCTTTTTATTACATAAAAGCAGACAAATCAAAAAATTATTCTTGGAGCTTTTGTTATCTGTAAAAGTGATCTTCCTGGCACACACGTATCTCCTACTTCCATCAAGTAAACGCGCAACTTAACTAGCACAGCGGAAGTGCATTTCGTCTAATTACTAACACAACTTTTCTTCATTTGTTTTACTTGTTTGGAATTTGAATTTTGTTTTAGTGAAGAAACGGAAAATTTCAAGCCACGGGGCTGCGGAAAGTTGGTAACAAAGTCTTATCAGCAAATCAACTTTGGTGGTGAAAGAGGCGAGTTTTTGTTGTTGTATGAGGCTACTTAATTTTCATTTTAATTGGGAGTAAGTCGAAAAATTTCGGAAATAAGGTGAACTCGGAAAGCAGGCATAGACAATTTAAAGTTCTTATTTCGTTTAAATTAACTTTGTTTAGAGTTTGCTTAAGAGCTAACCTTAGAACATTCATGTTTTTTTGGTTAAAAAGATAAAATGTCATTGGTTTGTTATTTTACCATTAGAGGTAGTACTTGTTCGACGATTTTGCTCAAGTTCTGGAATGAATAAAGAAGAGCAGAAATGCATCTCAACAATGTCCCAGGGACGATGGACTGAAGTCTGCGTTTGTGGAGGCAATGCATGCAACGGTGCTGAAGGTTATCCGAAAACCACCATTTTATCTCTTGTCTGTCTTACCCTAACGGCTGTCGCAAAATTTAGTTTGCTTTAAGAAAACAACAAGCAATCTGATTAAAGGGCCAATTTCAGTTCTAATTTTAATGCAATTTAACCCAACCAATTGTCAAGTCTCAAGTTACAAATACTCTTAACAAAATATAAAGCTGTAATTGAGATATTTATTTTTAATTTGTTTAGAATTCTTTAATATTATTTAATTATGTAAAGACTAACTACTATCGTTTTACATATTTATGCTTCTAAATAATTTGGAATATTTAACAATTTAAACACTTCGAGTGTTTTGATAAACAATCAAATTTTACATTACGTTTTTTAAAGTTGTAAAATAGTAATTATTAACATTTCTGAATTACGATATTTATTAATTCTGAGCAAAGAATCAGAGTGGGGTTATTTGTAATCACCTTTGCAAAAAAATTACTACAAAAGAAGTTTAAAAGTGAATAATACCTTAGTGATTAAAGAAACAGTGAAACCGCTCAAGTACTAGGGTGAGTCAAAAAGTTTTCAGTCAAACGATTTAGCTTTAAATAACGCAAAAATTGATAATTTTTTCTATAAGTTCAGACATTAATTTAATACTTCTTTAGTAGCATGCAACCATTACCATATTGGGTCAAATTCAACGCGGGTAACATCTCAAAATGACTAGCAATTTCCGACCCCCAAATGTCCAATTTTATGATCAGAACCGACCTAAATTTTTTGACTTAAATAAACTGGAAACCTGTTAAGATCATAGAAAATTTAAAACACGTTTATGGGGATTGTTTGTCAAGTTGAGAAATCAATTTTAATGGTCTTAAACGCTTCAGAGGGATGTGTGCAGCGTGATGGCGACACACGTGGAGGTAGACCTACCACAGCAAAATCTCAAGAAAGCATCTCTCTTTTATAGGACCGAGTGAAACTAGATCGACGAGTTAGCATTATGGAAATTGTCAATGCAGTAGAAAAACAAAGATCAGAATTTTCAATTCTCACTGAAAATTTAGGCTTGAGTGAGCTCTTGGTTGGCACGGAAGGTTCCAAAAGAATTGTAAGAACACCACCTGATCTAAAGAGCTGTAATTTCTTTAGCCACTTTGGGAAAGGTGGAGGCAAATAAGAATAATTTTTAATTATTCAGTTGCCGGAACTGAAACTTAGATCTACCAATTCTGGCCAGAAAGCAAAATTCTGTTGAATGAGCGACATACAAAGGAAACATATAAACTTGTCAAGTACAAAGCCTAGTGGTACGTTAAGGTCATGGCCTCTATGTTTTGGAAATCGAAATGTGTGATATTAATGAACCCTTTAGAAGAACAGAAAATATTAACCTCAAATTACTATGAAGGCGCTAAAATGGAGTTGGAGAAATACTTCGTCATAAAAAGGTGTGGAAGTCTGCAAAGTGAATTTACGTCTTAAGATAAAGCGGAAAGTATGCAGTTTTATGGCGAAAGAGGAAGTCTCAAAATTCTTCCATGTGGGAGATTACATGTGGAAACATGGATTAAAGTGTGTATGGAGTAAATGTAGGAACATGTTGTAATCAATTCTAAAGAAATTAATTACGGAATTTGGTTATGAAATGCAATAGGCCTTTTTGGCATAAAGTTTCCATACTGACCTCAAAGTATCGCGGAATTAGGGCGACATGTCGCGCAATCGAGTGCCAAACGAATGCCAACAGACTATGTGCGATAGGTTTGTAAAATGACATGTTTAAATTTTGATTAACTACCCTATACTGGGATCAAATAATAAGTCAAAAATTATCCTCGGAGAAAAGAAAACTATTTATTTCCCTTGGGGGGTATTTATGCATTAAGGAGGTCGGTGTTAGGGGAATTATCATTACTAATTAAAATCAGCAAAAGAGAAAAGACTTTTCGAAATAAGGCTACTTAAAATAAAGAGTAGATCATTTTGTGGAGTTTAAATTACTCAAGCCGTGGGTTAATGATAAAACGCTTTCATCAAGAGTGCAAAAACATATAAGAGTATTGGCTTTGAAGTGATAGAAGATAGTATGTAGGCGTAAAATATGCGCTCGCAAAAAGTGCTATCCAACTGAAATACATTGATAGATGTGGTGCGGACCTTATTTTTTGAAGTAGATCAATGCAAGATGTTTGCCTTCCTTCACTAAAGTTGTCTGCAAAATACCAAACCTCCCACTACATGCATGTAGGAATACCGCAAGGCATTCAAGTCATCAAGAAGAATTGGAAATATTTTTGTAAGAGGAGGCGACATTCCTGTAATGGTGGCCACAAACCCTCACTAAGTGCCACTTTATTAATGCGAATAATGTATAGGCTAATGTATACATGGCTCTGTTTCATACCTTTGAAATAGATATATTGGCATGCAATGCTATTTAAGCACTGGACAAACCAGAAAGCAATAGGTATAAAATATATTCCACAAAAATTGATTTTGACATGTTAGATCAGTTTATACTGTAAAGGAAGCATTCCACTTTCAGTGAATCATCCTAGTTTATCGTTCCCCACTAAAATTAGCTGATATTATCATCTCTTCACAGTAGGTATCTGTGACCTAGAATGCATTGCTGAGAAGTACAGACCAACCAAGCCACAATACAAATCAGTCAAACTAACAATGTTAAAAAACAGGAAAATTATTCTTCTTGGTGGATTGGTTCATTTATGCATACACTTCAATTATACTCGAAAGTTAAAAGCTGAAGTGAAGCAGAAAGAATTATTTTATTTTTTATGAATGCCATGTAGATTATTCTGTAATGGATATCCGCGATCTTGATTATCTGGAAAAAATTTGAAATGAACTTATTTCAACTAATATGCTTTTGAATTTTAAAATTACGCCATTACCTTTAGGATGTCAAGCATTAGCTTTCCGCAAAAGTAATTTAAGTTTCAAACTATCCTACGATTAAAGAGTTTTGTTTCTCCCCTGAAAATCAAAACATTTTCTGCCTCTAAGGCAATATTTTTCAGAATTATTAATTTAATTAGTCACAAAATCTCAAAACATGAACTCTATGAGGAAGAAATAATGCGGAGTCTGTGCTCTTAAGTCTTTAATTGTGACTATATCCCCTTCTAACTAATTAATTTAACGATCTTTGACCACATGACTGATCAAATAACTTTTCCTCCAAGTCTACAGTGTGTTGAAAAATTAGTGCCTTCTTCAAGACAAAACTCTTGGAAATCTTGTTTCATTTATCAATATCCCATTTGAAACATGCAAAGCAATTGATTAAATCCATATCAGTGACTTCTTCAAGTTAATTATTAGCACGTCACAGAGAAAGTAGTTATTTATTTATTTATAACAAATGGCAGGCGGTTTGATAGTTATCATTAGCCCTTTAGTTGACTTCGAGCTTCACAGAGAGGAGGAGGAACATCAAAGTGAGAAGAATTCGGGAGGGGGGCAGAAGGTGTTTCACAGATGTAAAAGAAACAGACAGACACAAAGGCCCAGAAAGGGTAAGATGAGTACTGCAAGAGACAAACACAAAGATAGAACAAAGGTGAGGTGAATACTGTAGAGAGACAATGGTAGAAAAAAGGTGAGGTGAGTACTGGAAGAGACAAACACAAAGATAGAACAAAGGTGAGGTGAATACTGTAGAGAGACAATGGTAGAAAAAGGGTAAGATGAGTACTGCGTAGGGGTCGAATATGACATACAGTGGGGGTGATGGTTGTTTAAAGTGAGAAGTCAACTATCGGATAATAGACTTTTTTGCTGTATGATTATACGTTGCCCAGGGTGCACCACGAGGAGGTAAGTCTATCCCACACCCCACAGAGAATGTATTAAACATACCGTTTTGGCAAAATGGCTTGAGCATTTTTAAACACAGTAAAAAATGCGAAAAAGGTACAAACTATAGATTTATTTTGACAGATAAAATAAACGCGTGACTATGTCTCAAAATTGGACAGATATAATCTTGAATATAGACATAACTAATCACACCTATGCGTGCCCCTTTTGCAAAAAACAACTAGCTTTTCAAAGTTAGGAAGAGATAATGTATGCAATCAATGCATTTTTTAATAATGACGAACAAATAACAAATTGACGTCTATCCTAAATTGTGCTATTGCTTAGCTATTTGGCTGTATAAGATGGGATTAGAAACATCTCAGATGAAGGTCTTGTTCTTACTATTTGCAGCAAACTAAGGTGATAAAGCTTCCATTTTATTTGTTATCTCATTTAATTAATTAAAGTGAAATACCCTTCAAAGAAATCAAATTTTTCCTCAGTCCAACTCGTAGAGTTTTCTACTAGTGCTGCGAGAACTTCGTAATAGTAAGCTTTTCATTGCACCTACCTCTCGATTTTCTGGCGTTTGAAGCAGTAAGCTCTTGGTAGGTCTAGTCATTAGCTGCTCACCTTGTCCTGAAAACTTCTAAGTGGTTTATGGTGTCACGTAAATTGGATCCATCAAGTAGACAGTAGAATGATAAGCAGATAATAAAATCTAATGCGTCGTAGAGATAACTGCAAGCTTCTTTATCTGGTTCTCATTTAAATAGACATCTGTGACAAATGAAACGTGTCAAATGAGTCTGGCGTTTTGTCGCTTATATGCCTTCCAATTTAACCTGCCACTTTAATCTGGCATGAATAATCGATTTCTTTCGTAATTTTTAAACATCAGGAGCACAGAACAAAATAAGTAAAATTTAATTAAGCAAAGTATTGCACTGATATAAAATAACATAGAACACCGATTGGGAATGTGTGTTTAGCTTACATTCCAATCAATGTAAACTAAGGTAGCTTAACTAAGTTTTGTAGCGGATTGCTACACTAGTAAAGCCTAACTAACTCACAAATCTCTGTGGCTGATTCTCCTACATTTAGCTCGACTCCCAGATCTAGCTAAGCTATAGCCCAGCTATAGAGGAAACAGACGTGTAGCACGGAACACGTTTATTTAGTAAGTATTTTGTGGATAAAAGTGAACGCGCAAGGAGCTTAAGCATGATCAGCATGGAGGATTCGGTTAAACAAATTGAGGCCCCTGAT